TGCGTGCGTGCGTGCGTGCGTGCGTGCGTGCGTGCGTGCGTGCGTGTGTGCATGGGAAGGTTTTCAGCTCAAAAGGGTGTATGGGACTTATAAAGATTTCGCTACATTCAAAAAAACGACTCACCCCCAGTCACTGGGAGTAAAAGGACTAACAATTAGAACTGTCTGCACGATAGTCTTCATGAGAGGAGTTAGCTCATGTGTGACACACGGTTGTGCAGTGCTTATACTTCAGAAGCAGAGTACACTCCACAAACATATGCTGGAGGGAAAGCCACTGCAGTAGGTGCTCATGGGTATAAAGACCGTGTGATGTGATCCAAACATTACACTCTGAAATTCCCAGACCGTAAACAACACAGCACTCCTCTACAAATAAACAGCTGAAGTGGCCAAGTTATGCCGGAGAGAGCGTGTGTGAATGTTTGTATTTCTATCTGTTCTGTGTGTTAATGCTGAGTGGGACCTCCTTGTTAAGCGGCACAAGGACAGTCGAGTCTTACGTAGATTTGGTCGTTGCCAAAGCGCTTCTGCATCTCGTAGAGCAGACTGCTGTCGGTCAGCTCACTGAGGGAGGCCAGGTCGTCATTGGGAGCTGGAGGCATCAGCTTCACCTAAGGGAAATGCAAGGTGAAAATGTAAATCAGCAGCTTGAGTATTTTAAATGAAACATTCAAAGTCCCAGACAGTGATCTACAGTCATATTCAACTGTAGCCCACAGAGATTTAAACTCATTGTTCCAATCACACTCTGCACTGGTTTATTTATTTACTTTCTTTTCTTTATCTACACTGCTCTTGGGTCTCAAATGCACACTATTGCAGCGATAGCACATTGCTTAACTACTACATACTTGATTACTTCTCAATTATCACTGCTGAGCTGAATCAAAACTGCAATTTGTCACAAAGCTGATATTTTTACGAAGCTTAAAAAGACAAGGTACCTGCTCCAGTTTGCTGGCACCGGAGCTAAAGGGGCCATCTAGGCCATTGTCCTGTGAGGGCTGTCGGCTCAGTGCTCCACCTGCCTCTCTGAACATGGCACACTTCTCCAGCAGACTGTCCCGCTTAGAGATAGAGAGACTCAGGGGGTTCCTGGCAAAGACAGAAGGTGTAAGGAAAGGAAGCAGACAAAGGATGATAGATAAATGGGGGGGAAAAAACAGGATTAACAATCTGTGAAATAACCGTAAGTGAACCACTGTGCCCAAGGAAACTGTTCACTCACAAGTTCTTGACAGGAGTGTTGAGGTCGTGTGAACCGCCATCATAGCGTTGATCAGTGGAGGGTAGGGGGGCGGAGGGGTCCTTTAGTCTCTGCAGCCAGCTCTCCTCTGCATTCAGCAGCATGTCAGCTATGGGCTCTGACGCGGAAATATCTGGTGAGATGACACAAGACAGGCTCATCAATACAACAATTTGTTATGAAATTGGAACTTTACAGAAACAAGTTTAATTTGACATTGACAAGAACTTCAGAATGTTGGATGTTTCTGTGCAACTGGTGAGGACACATGCCTTTTCGGCTCACATGTTCACCATACAAATGCTCCTTAAAAATCAATGAGGATGAGCCTGCTCTGATGCAGAATGTGAACCCCACTGTGGATCAATCCAACTGTGCTTAAGAGGAAGGGGGAAATAAGACCCCCCCTGTCTGTAATGAGGTCTAACAGGGCACGAGGGAGGGGAGCGGCTTCATCCTGTCTATTTATTTCTGTGTGACTGACAACCCCCTAGACTCCCATCTCTTTCTCCGGATCTCTTTCGTCATGTTGATGCTGAGGGAGGGGGTGTGGGGCTCCGAGTGAGAAAGAGGGGGATTGTCTCTGTCTCTCAGGGCTTGTCTCACATCTTTTCGAAGCCTACACGCGAGAAGAGGCTATTGATTAAGGCCGGAGTGAGGCATTCAGGGGTGTGATGAAGCCATGGGAGTAAATCGTTTGAGGCAGCAATGATATTCTAGGCCACAATGGATAGAAGCAAATAACCTTTATACGACACGTTTCATCACCTTCAAAGGAATACACGCTTACATTTACCGCTACATACAACAGCATTCAGTGTGCTGTTAACACGCACATTTATGTTTCTAGCCAGTGGTCCTTTTCAAAATGCAATGTGTGCATCTTTAAGGCCCTAATGTGCTGAAAGTTGTACCAGCCTCGCCAGCTGGCAGGAATGTGTGCATGCCAGCAGAACACGAGATTAGGACTTATCAGCCTACACTAGCGACATCCCACGTGTGTAACCTCTATTACATGTACATACACATTTTACTTGTAGGATTTATGTGATTTTAAAAACATCAGATTTTCCGACAGTGAATCAAAGCAGAAAACTGCATTAGTCATCCCTCAGTTTCCATCTTCCTGCTCTTTATCAATTATAGATAGTTTTGCAAGAGGAGCAAGACATTTCTCCGTGGCAGTGTTGGAGATCAAAATCAAATAGTTCAGTGTATGTTACATATTTGTTCAGGTATTAGGGCAGGATGAAATACTGTACTGCTACAGTAAGACTATGCTTATGTTTTGAGATGGTAACAGTATCTACGCAGTTTAAATAATTAATCATCAATTAGATGATAAGTGTAGAGCCTACCAGGCAATTCAGGATCCACATACATTAGCCCCTTTTTGAATGTGTGCAACATGTCTTTAGTCAAATCTCCTCTGTTGATCCTGTAAGCTTTCATTATAAGAAAACCTTGCATTGATAATCCCCCTCGATAAAAATACGATACATTTATGCCCATTAGCAAATCAATATACAAGCCTCTTTTGATGTGTGTATGACAGGCTTCAGTAAGATGTTGGTGATCTCTTTAATTGATAAATTAGTTCTTGCAGATACAGATGAGCATAAATGAGCTTAGAAGAGACTGATGATGGCGTAGCATCATTCACTGTGTGTGTGTGTGTGTGTGTGTGTGTGTGTGTGTGTGTGTGTGTGTGTGTGTGTGTGTGTGTGTGTGTGTGTGTGTGTGTGTGTGTGTGTGTGTGTGTGTGTGTGTGTGTGTGTGTGTGTGTGTGTGTGTGTGTGTGTGTGAATAAGTCTAAATCCATTACTTGGCTTCCTAGCCTCATTAACTTTTGCTTGCTAAAACACATTTGCCCATTGCAACAGCAATAATTGTGCGTGCACACGAACATGTGTATATCTGTGTCCATGCCTCGATATGTTACCTGAGGGCTTGTCTTGGTTGCAGTTCAACAGAGTCGGGTTTGCTCTGTGCCTCAGGAGCTGGCTAACGATGCTTGTCTGTAAGAGATGGGAGAAACACCAACATCCATTTTCATTAGATCTGAGAAAAACAGAGCATTTCAAGGGCACTATTTTCTGCATCTTTCAAACCATCAGCACAAGGAGAAAAAACATTTGATAGCGGATTTCATCTGGTTATAGAAGATGCAAATGTTATTCCCACATTTATTGCTACAGCACAGATGCATCAACTTAAAATGGAAGGAATGTATGTATGCATTTCTGTCTTTACATCAACCGTTCATCCATTCAACTTCACACTTAGCAGGTGTGCTGCTGAAGACGCACGTGTAATGTTAAGTACAAGCTCTTGAGACCTATGGGACACATTCATTTATTATGTAAACAGTGAAGTGTGTTAAGAGAAATCATTTTGAACTGTTACACCACCAAACGGCATGCTGGGTACAGCTAGGTCTGCGTCGATGATCATGTGAGCTTTTGCACACAAATACTTTATCATGGCTGGTAGATGCAATTATGTCATGGCATGTGAAGGAGCCAAAGAAGCACAGTGTCGAGTGTGAAGTTATTCGGATGAGCGGTGATACTGGAGGCCAAGCAATGGGATGGTCAGAACAGACACTGCTGTATATGTAAATGTAGGATATACTATATGACAGACCTAGAATTTAAACAGTGAGCAGATGGCACAAACAGTCAGAGTATGTCACACGTGACAGGCTTATACAAGTGTCGCTCCTGACAGGAGAGATCCTTTAATAATGAGTGTATCTTCCAACACATATCACAGTGGAAGAGCCCCATAGGCTTCCCTCATTTACACTCAGTGACATGTGATGGCTGTCACCTCTGTCCTATTGTTCTTCTAGGATTTTCTTTTAGTCTTAGCTCACACATGCTCTCAGTCTCGCTGTCAGACATGTTCTCCTTCCCCTCTCATTACTTTCTCTCTCTCTGCACCAAGCATAGAATACAGGAAGGGTGATGCTCTGATCGGTCATACTGATTTGTATGGTAATTTAGGGAATACATAGAAATGAATTGTTTAAAAAATAAAACAGTGGATCATAATTAAACACAAGCAGCAACTTTACAAGCGCAAATTCTGGGAAAAGAATAAACCCCCTACTGTTCAGTTTTCATTACTTCACTCGGTTGCAATAAAACACACACTGAGGAAGCACTGAAAGACTGAGGATGTTCCATTGAGGTTGTATATCAGAACAAACACATACACATACACACAATCCACTTCTCTGAACTTAACATGTGCATTGAGTACGATAAACAGAAAGTAACCATATTATTTCGTTTGAACCAAGTAAACTAAGCTGGCAGAACTAACCAAAAGCTATACTTATGGTTTCTCTGCATTTCATTGCATTCAAAAGGATTAGCAGATGCTTCAGTAAAATACTGCTTTCAAATTCAACATTGTAAAACCGTAAAGGGGACTTCACTCGCATCAAGAACATTGTATAAAACATGGGCAGTATTAACCACAAAATAAATAAATAATTAACAAATGCCCTCTGTGGCTCTGGTGGAGTATTACAAAACAGGAGAACTTCTTTTTACCATGGCAGAGTAAATCGACTGCAGTGCAGAAGAGAATGACTCAGCACATTCAGCAGAGTGACCCACGTCGACAGCTGTTTAGTTCTACTGAGTCTGCAGCATCTGTAGTGCCCACAAACTGCCAGCTGCACTCACACCCTATAAATACTGAGCACACGTCAGTGGCACCACAATATCTGAACTCTCTAATGGGTCGGGAGGATCGGGAAAAGGTCATCACATTGAGATAAGCGGGGGACGGAGCAAACTCAGAGTGGATGTAGATTTAAAAAGACAGAGCCATTTTTGGCTTGAGCCCAAATACTCTTTTAATATTTTTTGTCAGAGCTGAACATAAATCTTGAGCTTAAGGTACTTTTGAAATGTACACAGATGCAGGGAGTCTGCTTTATTTCCCTAGGTTTCACATGTACCTCATTATAAAACTGAAAGGGCTAATCCTATCCCAGTAGGGCTGTATTTAAACATCCTGTCATTTTTGTTAAAGAATCCACTCACAAAACTATTTAAAATCCTTTCCTCAAGAGAACACATCTTGAAAAGCCTCGACTGACACCGAGGGCGCCAAGCGAGGGTCCAACTTATCACAAGACCAGGAGAAGGAAGCTTAATTAACTGCAGTAATAGGGTCATGTATCTTCTTAAAGGGTGAGTGTAGTACGTACGGCACATTGCAGAAGGGGGTCTTTGGGTTTAACATACCAGCTAGTGTTACAGTTGCCAGCAAGTGTTTCCAGGCAACATTCAGCTTCTGCTAGTTTGCAGCATATATACACACATCTTAAACCCGCACTGTCCTACATTACTGACGTGTCACTGTCAGTATAAGGGAACGGTGACAGGAAGTGAGAGTTAAGAAGGCCCAGGGAGTAGTTGGTATGCATGAGGCAGAGCACTGGCACCAGTAAAGAGCCGATGGCTGAGGTGATTTAGCACTGTAAGGCCAGCCAATCGATTCTCTAGACTGCCACTCTTCAGTCAGATGCACTTACATATTACTCACACTCACACAGAGTAATTGAGTATGCAGAAAGTCTAAAAACAAAGACACAAGAAGGTTATAAGTCCATTTAGAAGATTGTACATCTATATTGACTGAATACTGATTATTTTTTCATCCAACAAATGGATGAAGGATTGTGCGAGAGGAATAAAAAAGGAAGCAGATCTGCATGAATGAAACAGAAAAAAGCAGCGAGCTAAAAGAGTAGCAAGAATGTTCAAAACCCACTCTAGTAGGGGAAAAAAACATGGCTTCGGGGTAGATGAACCAAAGAACTAAATACATTCTCTTTGTCAGCAGCCACAGCACAGAAATGTAATTAAATATCCAGTTGGGTCAGCAAGATGTGAACGTGATCACTTCCTCTGCTTCATAGTTGGAACCCTTCCAAACCTCCAGATCTCATAGCTCCAAAAGCTCTCCTCCGCCCCGTCTAGAAATCAATCTCCTTTCCACTAAGAGAGACCATTAAACTGCTAATATAAAATGCTGTAAGGCCAAAAAGAGAAGTTTATCAGAGTGTGTGCAGGGTAACCGGGGGCAACTGCCTCGGAGGAACAATCAATCCGTCAATAATCTCCTCGTTATTTCATTAATGACTTCATCACATCCGATCAATTCAGCTACAGGAGGTTAAATTAGGAAACTACTTCATTAAAGGCATTTTGACAATTTGTTGAGCAGCTGTGAGTTACCTGTCCATATTTAGCAGCCAGGTGAAGAGGGGTCCAGAAGTTGTTGTCAGCAGGATGAGGGTCCGCCCCGCTCTCCAACAACACAGAAACCACTTCTCTATAACCACTGGCGGACGCTATGTGGATCTTCAGGGAGAGAGAGAAAGAAAGAAGGAATGATAAAGTTATGAGAGCAAAAAGTTGAAGCTACAGTATCTAATAAAAAACTTCAAGGAAGACAATAATCCAAAACCAGGGGAATAGAGACACAAAGGGGTCAACTCACACACCCTGACACCATGTGACCTTACTCACCAGAGTGACCCCGTCATCATTGGGCTGGTTGATGCTTTCCCCCTTGGCTACAAGCTGTCTCACATCAGACAGCATTGTGCTTGGTCTCTGCATCTTCATTGCATGCATGGATGACACATCCACACCTAAAAACATAATAGAGACACATGTTAGAGTAAGTACTCTCATATCTTTGTGTTAAAGACTCTATAGTCAGGGGACGTTTAGTGTAGCAACGGAAAGGCATTTCATTGGCTTCCAGCATAGCAACTGGGACCCAGTCAAACAGCTAGCTTGACTTCAAAGAAAATGTTCTGTTATGTGTCTTATCTATCTAACTCTAAACAAGAAGGCAATAATGCATATTTCCCAAACTGTCCAACACATCCTTTTAACCTCATTCACAGGTTCAAATTCACAGGTTAGTTTGCTGGCTTTCGCAATATCTAGGGAGGGGTTGCTTTTAGGTAAAGGGGTCTGACACATTTTGCATATAAATATGACCCAGTTTTATGCAGAACCTTATTTTTCAACAGAATTTGCCTTCAGGACAACTTTATCTGATAGTGGTCATACAGGGTCAAACTGTATTACAACACAACTACAGAATCACATTTTATGGAGGATGTTGGCTGTTTATGTAGCATCCGTGTGAACACATTAAAAACTGCATAACACAGTTATCCTCCTGGCGGATTAAAAGATGGCTATAAGTGATCCTTATGTTGATGACAAATCAATAAAAAGAAATCAGGAGATGATCAATACAGGGCTTCAGTCACTAATCTCACTGGTTCAAGGACATTTAGCTGACACAAGGTCTATCCAAAAACTATGAAGATCAATGCAGTGCCAACTAACCACATACACACACTGGACCGGACTTTGGATGCGGTAATAGCAGGAATTGATTTTCAATCAATCTATAGTTTAGCCCCAGGGAACTAACTAATGGGACTTTTCAGAGTAGACTGGTTGGATTAGCTAATCAATGAGTTTGTCTTTGTAAACAAATGAGAGCCACTGGATGTGAAGCTTTTTAAGACATGCTCATGGAGACATTCACATAAGAAGAAAGTTCTTGTTCTATACTGTGTCAATACATTGAGAAAAAACGTTGTCAACAAAAAGACAAACGACTTGAGCTAAGGCAACAAGTAGGAAAACAACATTTCTACTTCTTACTGGTGTGGAGACAAATATACAGTTTGTCTTTTTCCCACAAACACACAAACTAAGTGGGAATGGAAACTGTAAAACCAAGTTGCTATAGCAACAGAACAGGGTGAGCCTATGCGTGTTTCATGGTGGCAAAGCCCAGTGCGATGGGGGGGGTATCATGGGAACTGAAACTAGGCGGGAGGGAGAGCACCATGGGGTTGGGCAGACAGAGGCAGAGAACAGTCTCACAAAATTAAGTGCTTTGGGAGTCAGAAAGTGAAACTGGGTGTGTGGGTGTGGGTGTGTATGTGTGGTCGGAGCTTTGATGAGTTAGCTGTCTGCAGTCAGAAGCTGGCATTTGTCATGTGAACTTGTGGCCAATGGCAGATGGATGAGGGGAGACCCTCCATCAGTGTCTATATCTGTTTCCGTCTAGCTTTGTCAGCATGATTCCTGTTCTCCTTTTTCTCTGTCTCTCTGTATTTCTCTGGCATTCTGCCCTGCCTCCCCCTCTGTCACCATCTCTGGTCCCAATACGTTTGTCCCTGTGTGCCTCCAACCTGCATCTCATGGAGTCGCCTCTCCTGTGTTGACCTTCTACTTTCTCTGTGGGAGACAAGAGCCCCAATCGCAACCCACCATCATTACGCCTGTGGGTATACTTCACCTTCACACACAAACACACACACAAAACACCTCCCGGTTACCTGTGAGCATGACTTATCAGCTATTTAAATTATCCCTTGGCTTCCTCAATGAAATACTATTGCTATTTTTCTCTATTTGAAAGGGAGACGATAACATGCATGGAACACAAAAACAAATAACAGTTGAGTTATACCATTTTCCTCCAGGTGTTTTCGGAGGATGTAGCTGGTCTCAGTTCCCTCGGATGCGTAGTCAAGAGGAATGTTTCCGTTGACATCCTGCAGCAGCACATTCACCCCGGACTTCAACGTGCACGGCAGAAAAAAGGCAGAGAAGACACAAATAAACTGAGTGTTGGTCGGGGTCATTCATCAGACTCGAATCAATGATGAAGTGGGCACAATTATCTTGGCTTCCCAGAGGCGTATACCTGAGGAGAACCATGGAGACATTAACAAACAATACAGTGAATTAAAGAACTCATTAAAAAACGGCCGGGGGGTTGGGGCGGTGAAGAGCGAGGGCGCTGGTTAGCGTTACCTGGTTCATCGGGGTGAGTGTGTGACATGATTAATGTGTATTTACTCAACAAGGAGCCTGCCACAGTATTTACTGTTATAGTATGAGATAACATGGTAGGCCTTCCCTCGGGTAATGACTGTTACTCTGACAACAACACAGTCGTTTGTCACAATATGGCTATGATTGATTGCCTTTCTTTGGAGGAACTCAACTGCATTATTATTTGTAAAAATGTTGCAATGCTTCACCAGTAGAGCAGAAATGTGTCCAAGATATTCACAATGTACTCCTGGACTTACATTCTGTCCTTTTCACTTTTATCATCCCCTCTTGGGTTGGGTACTAGAAGTACATCTTTTCAAGAGGCAATTGTCAGCATCCAGACGTAAATTGCTTCTTGTTGTTTGACTTAAACATAAAAGACAAGCCAGTGTAACGATCGTAGCTGGACCAGGTCTGATAACAGGGACAGGGGACTCTAAGTGAGGATCCTTATTGAATATTTACAGCTAATAGAATTCTAACGACCGAGTTGGAGCGTGGCAAAGAGATTTATGACCTGGTCCTCAAGCAGAAAGAGAGGGAAGGGTTGGGGACAGGAACAAATGAGAAGAAAATGGCAATTTTTAATTTATATAAATAAGACGACTGCTAATTCTGCTAATTACAAAAAAGTTGTGCGGATATTCAGAGGAAAACAATGTCATCCAAGAAATCCTGAGCAATTACACTTCAATAAAGGCAGCACAATGCAGTTGATTCCAGTTATCAGAGGATTTGTTCTGGTGAGCTTTGCAGTTTCATTGTGCACTGCACCACCCTCTGTGTGGTCTACTGGGAGCTGTGTTCACTCAGTAATAAGGGTTAGTTAGGGGTTAACAAAGGGAATTCATTAACATTACAAAATATCAGCTGCTGCTTCGTGACTATTCACAAACAAGAAAAACCTTATCGCTCCGTGAAGCACAGCTTGAAGAGCAGCAGAGATGAGTGAGTGAGTGAGTCAGAGAGAGGGCAAATTATTATCAACCCCTCCACCCACCTCTACCCCCCCCTCCCACACACACACACCATCCCCACATTTTTCTTAAAATGACACATTTGGACTGCTCCATCTATATTCCTTACATATGTGCCTAATCCACTTATTCATAAAACCTGACAGCTCTCTGGTAGCCTCAGTTAACATCTTCATATAAAGTCTATGGTCAACATGTGTTATTGTGTGTGTTATTGTGTGTGTTATTGTGTGTGTTAGTGTGTGTGTGTGTGTGTGTGTGTGTGTGTGTGTGTGTGTGTGTGTGTGTGTGTGTGTGTGTGTGTGTGTGTGTGTGATGCACAGTGGTTAGTAAAGGGGTGCACTAACCCAGACAATTCACTTCAAGGTCCAGTAAAAGTCAATAGGGGTCTGGCTATATAAAGCTATCAGCTGACAGACAGACATGTCTTTCCCTTTCGGTCAGACATAGGGCAGAGAGAGAGCATTTGTTGTTACATTTTTGTTACCAGTACCTTTAAAGCAATACCAATACCAACAGATTACTCCTTTTGATACATTTTCTTTAACATCATTTCAACCATCATTAGAATAGAAGAATGTAGGCACGTTACATGCAAATTATTTTTACTCTGTGAAATACACCGCACTTGACTTTACCACACCACACACTTTTAGGGTTGTAGCTGCTGCATTAGAAGGTCAATCAATGGTTGCGTTAATCCATGAACACTTGGGGTGACTGGCTGTGAGCAAAGCTATACAAAAAGTCATTTTATTTTCTAAATCTAGGGGGGAAAAAACAGGATAAAATGCATGTATAGTTATACTGGGGACCTTTCAATACTTTGAATACAATCATGAGCCATGTGCTAACATATAAAGTGAAATTGCTACACTTGCCTTTTTAAGCCTAGAGTAGTTTTACACACTTTGATAACAATAACAATCAGTCAAAACATAAACAGATATTCTGAATTTCCTTTTATGTCCAAAACAAGCAGGTTATGGTGAAGTAAGTGTGATGTGTGGGCCATTGATACAGACACATTAATAATGTATCTGAGCTCACATGATATGAACTGACAGGTATAAACGAGTCGGTGCTGTCTGGCCTCACAGGCTGCGAGGGGTTAACAAGTTGACTTCTGACCCCGACACGCTCCTTGACACATTTTGATAAATGCACCCCGGCTGTGGCAGAAATGGAAATCTGTTTATATTACGCTGTCCGTGGTTCATGATGGCAGTTGTTAGGTGCAGTGACTGTTACAGAATCAATAACAACCAGCAGATATGCACTGAAAGCTTTCCCAGGGGGAGTCACACTGTCACAGCCCAGTGGAGAGCATCCGACGCAGGGATACACTCTATCCATACACACTATTATTAGACTCTCCTATCTAAAATCACATTACATGTCACTTGTTAGATGCTTTTATCCAAAGCGACTTACATACTCAATACTGTGAGCAATCCTCACAGGAGCAATTTGGGGTGAAGTGTCTCAGGGACACAACGACATGCTGACTGCAGTGGGTTTGAACCTGTGACCCCCTGATCCGAACACCAACGCACAACCAACTGCACCACACGCCTCCCTCGCTAAACCCAAAGCTTTCTCTGATTAAAAACTAACAAACCAATATTTTTCATTTAGACATTTCACAAAAATGTATTCCAGTGTCAAGGAAACTTCAAACATGATTATCAAAGAGCTGCAACAAATAAATGTATCAGAAGCAATTGAGGATTGTCAACATCATTTCAGCTGTGGCCTGCCACACTGCTGTTTTTAAATGTGTTGTAAAAAAAACTGTAATGATCACACTTTTTTTCTAAATCACCACATGGCATGTGTCAGTGCTTTCTGTTGTGATTGCACATTGACTTGATGAGGAATCTAAATGCAAGGATAACACAACCTACTGTCATGTTAACAAACATAAAACAGAGGACAAATCTTCACAACAACATTACAGATTTCCTCAAATGTTTTAAGATAAATACATTTATTTCAATATATCTAACCAAGAGTCGGTTGAAAAAGTCTTTATTTGAATTGAAATATAGACTTCATTAAGCACAAATACATAGAAATCCAAAAAATCTTTGGACTTCAAAGTTCTGGGACTACAATTAAAGCAGATCACAGAGCAAAGAGAATAGTGGTGTGCAACAATTGCTTAATGAACTCATGTTCGGAGGAGGGAGGGCTACATTATCAGCAAGAAATCCACCAAATTCAACTGGTGGGATGTGGAGCTCGATGCAGCCGGGGGCTTACTGTTAATAATTTGACTTCAAAGGACTCAGAGTTCAGGAGTTTTAAATTCATCATTTACAAGCCATGAAAGTGGGTCACTTCGACTACAACTGTAACCCTGTTGGGTTTTTAGCAGTACGATGAGAAATAACATTTGGAGAAGAACCTGTCTCCCAGGGATCAAATGATTGCTACATCTTCCCTGGCTTAAGTCTGGGGACTGAAAGATATGACAGAAGAGGACGAAAGAGAATTGTTATGAATAAAAACAAAAAATCCTCAGTTGAAGTGGCAAAAAGTTTCAGAGCCTCATTATTATGCTCTCCAAGAGTCCATATTTTCAACACTGTGTAGTTCCTCTCAAGGAGACACTTAATCAGAAGTAGGGCCAGTCTGTGATTAGGTCTAATCACTTACCACATCTTTTCAGTTCAGCGTTTCACCAGATAGCACATGAGGAACTTCTAATTGAGAAGTAAGACTTGATAAGTATCTTGTGGGCCGTGGCTTTGAATAAAAGGTCAAGCTAAAATGTAGCACATGGAGATTGTGAGGCGCTGTTGATGCTTTCTAATGCATATGTATGAGCCAAGTCCTACTACATTGAAATCTTCATGAAAATGTGAAGGTCTATTGGGTTTTGTTAGTTAATCAGACAGTATTCCCCATTGAATATGACATTAACAATGTAATACTTTATTGGAATCATTCATAAAGCCTACACACCCAGTCATGTTTTTCTATTCTGAATAGTCAGTTAATCCTGGCAGGTTCTCAATGACCAACATTAACTAGCGCTGGAGCTCGGAGTAGCTTTAGCAGTGTATTTAGAAATGGAGTGGGAATGAGACAGTTTAGAAATGGCTTACTTCCTCCCCTGCTGTTTGGAGGCAGGAGATAAGAGAATGAACATTTCTGCCAATCCGGACGCTGTGCCACAATGACTTCTAATCAACCCCTCCTCCTTTACTCACGAGAAAAGCTCGGTAACATCTCAGTCAGCAAAAAAAAAAAACTCCCTGGAACTGGACGCAAAGGAAATCAAGGACATAGAGACAGAGGACTAGGGGAGGGAAGCACAGGAAGAGATGGAGGAGGAGGACACAACAGATTAGTACATATTGCCAATCAAAGATAAAGCTGCCAGTCAAGCTCCTCTGGCGAGACCACGATTCCACTTCCCATTAAAAAAGAAACCTGCTATATTCAGAGGGAAGATCCTACACTTACAATTCTGATAAGGCTGCAGCTTGAGTACAAAATGATTGACTGAGCACTGGCACGGTTTGCGGAGAAGATGGTTGTCAAAATGAATAAATAGAAGAAAAGGGATACTGCATCTCTATCGGAAATATTGCTTGACTGAAGCTATTTTTACCGTTAGACAGGAAGAGCATTGGGGTTTCCTGCCGATGGCACCAGGAAAGAAACTCAAGGGCTTATTTTCGACAAAAATAAGTCGATAATATTGTGCATCCTTATGGAAAATGTATACCTTTCTAAAGGTCTTACTTGGCTAGTCCACTCACAACCGCAGAGACACGCACAAGGGCATATTCACATGCACACAGTCCAATAAATAAGCGCAGTGTATCAAAGGGCATTCAAGCTGTGAAAGCTGAAGATATGTTTTGGTGTTGCTTCAGAGTAAGCGTGGAAAATGTTTGAACTTTTCACAGTGTTAAATCTGATTTCCTATTTTTCTTACAGATTTTCTAACCCTTTTTTCTTTACTGCCGGCTCTCTTCCAACAGTAAACAACTATGACCTCATTTATAAGGAACTGGTTCTGACTTGGTAGTGTATGGGAGACATTTCGATACTGCCTCCAAGGCCCCAGAATTAAATCTCCCTCCCTCTCACCCGTGGTATTGCGTATCATGAAAGCATAACTCACTGCATAAATTGCATTTGGCGTATCTATAGCACAGCCTCCTATACAAGCTAGGCCGCCTGCATGAGTCTTTGCTTTGGAGGAAATTAAATACATGCAAATACACAAACATACACATGAAGCGGCAGTCATACAGACTGACAGATCCATTTTGCCCTGGCAGATCTTCAAACATCCATTCCTCTAAGGGATGTCTCCTTCCTGCCCCGCAGACAAACAGCAAGCAATCACTCAGGACCCAATCAGCAGAACCAGCCTGTACTGGATACAGTGAACCCTCCCTGGGTCTAATCAGCACCAGCAGAACAGAACCAGCCCACTGAGTGACTCGGCTGGAGGTGCACCCCCTCCCCTGCAGCTGGCCCCGCTCTCGTCATGGACCTAATCAGTACGACCGCAGCTCTGTCAAGACAGACCCGACAGGAGCTGGGAACATCCTCCGCAGAGCAGGCTCTCCCTTTGATATCATGCTAATGCCCACATAATAAATGTTCTCATCCTCTGTTATTCAGCTGGGTTTGTGAGAGAATAGAAAGTCGTGTTTCAGACCCTCAGTAATCCAAAAGGCTCAACTTGAAAATACATTTCTAGTTGACGTAATGTAAACACGGCCAATGGCACTGATCTAATTTGTAGCGGAGACTCTTGGAATAGCGAGAAAATAACTCAATTACAAAATGTGTGTCCATTGATGCATGCAAATGGTTGTTATTCGCCCAATATACCAGGTGTTCATGTTTGCATGTGTGTGTCTTACCAGCAGCAGGAGCAGCACCACGTCTGCATGGTCGCACACACACGCCACGTGCAGGGCGGTCCACAGGTCTTCGTCCTGCAGGTTCACGTTCAGGCCTCGCTCAATCAGAACTTCTGCCGCAAACACGTTGTCATGGCGAGCACACTGCAGGATGAAAGCACAGCGGATGGCATTATAATTACTTTTCAAATGTGTACATTTCCTGAAGCACTGCTAACAATAAACAGTGCACATGAGTGGTTCACTGCATAATAATGGGAAAAATCTATTGTACAACAATTTTAACAACTTCACACTTGTATTGCTACAGGGGTAAAATGCTAAGTGATAAAAGGAATGGAGAACAGTTATTGGGACTTAAAAACAGCCTCAGTTTTTGCTGCAACATTTTTTAATTAATGCATGTTTTCTAGTTTTACAATTATTAAAAAAAGATATGTCATAAATCACTTTGAAAGAATAAAAAATAATAATTAGGAGGTAGGGATGGCCTATATGATATACATAGCAGGGGAAAGAAAAGCATCTCCTGTGTAATACAAATAAAGATGTATTGTAATTAAAGTATGATCACACTATTTATTAATATCTCTAAACAAAGTAAACATTTATTGTAAAAATATTTTATTAATATTACTTAATCATGACAGGGGGTGATTTTAAAATAATACAATTGACTTGATTAGCTGTAATTGAATTAAAAGTGCACAAAACTGTGATTTTTAGTCTGTATTTGTTTTGGTGTGTGTTACCAGGTGTAGCAAAGATCCGCCAGAAGAGATGGGAGTGTTGGGGTGTGCTCCCTCCTTCAGGAGACGCAACACTGTAACAAAACAAACATCCATGTGTTAACACTTCCTGTATGTAAAGACAGAGGGGGTGCTTAGGGTATATAGTGAAGACACATGAGGCCTAACACACTTACACACACACGCACTAATCACTGCCACTATCAGAACCAATGTGCGTTGCGTGTCCTCTGACTGTCCATGACGTGTCAGTGTGGATCAGTGTTAGGGATGTGTGTGTTTGGTAGGTCCTTGTCCCAGCAGCAGGTCAGAAAGCCTCTAGGTTGCAAAGCCTCACGTCACAGTGTACGCTCCAGTGAGCATCAACCCACTCACACACTGACACAGATCTACTGAGGGAAACACAGATCACTACAAACAAGTTCACGCAGTCAGCCATAAAAGATGAAAAAAAGTAGTAGTAGGCTGAACAAGGTTGCAGCGACTTCACTATACCACTGATATATTATTTATGTCATGTACCAAAAGGGAACGAGAAGACAGCAGGAAAGAGAGGACAGAGAGCAGGAGAGAGGGAGAGAGAGAGAGAACTGGAGTGTGTGACAGATAAATAGAGCAGGATGGACAAACAAGAGGAGGCTAGGAGAGAGGGAGGTGGTTTGGACATATGTGATTTTACTGACACTGACAGCACTAGATGGGTACTGACTAAATCCTGGAAGAATTTCTCCCAACAAAACAGCCACCACTGTCACGCAATCCCACACACACACACACACACACACACACACACACACACACACACACACACACACACACACACACACACACACACACACACACACACACACACACACACACACCAAGGCATACACACAGAGTGATTTACAGAGTGACTTCACCTCTGCAATGTCTTACAATGTAGTAGTCCATTAACAGTGAATTCTTGACACACACACACACACAAACTGGAGTCTTTAAGCAGGAAACTACCGGCTGAAGACAGAAACCAGGGTCATTACGGTGGTGATAATTCTAGCTAATGAAGCCTGTTGATGACCCCCATGAGGTCATTTTACTTAAAGGGTCATTTTGTAGACAGACATGCTTAGATAACCTCATCCCATCCACACACAGCCACATAAACACACACTCAGCAAGCATATTTTAAAAGAGTAGAGCAGTAAATCCTGTTATTATATGAACATATAAAAGTTGAAATACATAGGATGACCTTTTTTTGCCATCAATTAATGAATACAATAGCTGGTGAACATAAAGCAGTATTATAATGATGCCGCAAAAATAAAGAACTTTATTATGGCCTCAAAAACTATTATACGTCTGATTTAACACACTCTACTTGACACAGTCTCGATGATTACTGAACATGTACCGGTCTATGAATCGCTAACCTCATTACCAAGCTACAGCTGTTACACTCTCTTCTCCCCTCAGATCAAATACCAAACTCTCTGCTTCTGTCTGAACCTACAACATTATTTATCAACAGCTTTGCAAAAAACCCTCCTTATAAAATCTGAAAGAAATTGTCTTTAAAGCCGTTGGTTAAACATACAATTCAATGGCACCACAAAGTATAAAGGCGTGTATCTGTGTGCATAAACACATATGTTAACCTCCGTCATTTGTATGTTTCATAAACACTGATGACCATGTTCAGTGCGTCATGCCTTTACCCACCCACCGCCAGACCCCATACATACTCACTTACAATATATAACACATTAAGTCTGTACAAAATATCAGTATAGATATGTAATACAAATAACTCTCAGCAGCAACCCTACTTATTAAATCTGCCACAGTTTGAGAAACATCCATGCTTTGAAAGAATAACATTTACAAAGATGTAATTAAGCAAATGAATTAACTTAGTTTGAACCATTGAGAGATTACTTCATCAGTTCATTTTCTGTCAGCTCACTTATCTTATCATATGTACACATACCGAACACATACTGTGCACAGGCATGTTCCCACTCTTCTAATGGCCACCAGTGCTTAATGGCCTTTAAACGGTTGCTGAGAAACAAACTGGCCAACCTTTTAAGTCAATCAGAACAATTATCTCCCAATTATGGCTCATCAAGCACTAAAGTCGTCACCAGGGAATAGATAATGCTCTTGCTTTCCTGTCGATCAAACAGTATATTACAGGGCTGCTCATGGCTAATGTGGAGCAGTGATTTTTAAGCATGCATTCTAGAGAATGATTTATTTATCAAAAATAAAAGAACTTCCATAGTAAGGATCGCTCTGGTCTGACAACTTCCCAATTTTTAGAGCCAGTTAGTATTGGTCATTGATGCGTGGATCTACCAGTTTTATGGCATTGGATTTGTCTAAATAAAGGTGAAAGGTCAATAGATACAGCAATAAGCAAAGCATTTGTCTGGCGATGTGGCCATAAGAGATCAATAGCACGATTGTACCATGGGCAGATTTTTCCAAAAAAAAAGTATTTTTGTAAAGCCCAGGGATCAACTGTGTCTATTTGCTTTTTGCATTAGTCATATTGACAGCATTATTAGTTAAACATGTCAATCATTCGTTTGAAAGCAGTGTAACTAAAAAAAGTAGGATCACATATTGTTTCCTGTGTATTCAGTAGTCTATGAACATTTCAACAGGTTTCACTCGATGTAATCATTCTACCTTTTCGTTTTGGCCATCAGTGGATCCCTGGGTTCTTCCATTCTAAAATATTGATTATAAAATCCCCCGTCCTGAGATTTTACCCACAGAGGGAAGAAGCCATTTGTCAAGTCGATAAGAGAATGGATACAAATGACTGCTTGTCCCAAGGCTCAGATGCTGCTGTAAATGGCAACCAATCTGATTGGCTTAAGGTAAATTCCAGCTGTGCTAATAAATACTGCAGGCTACTTTGACATTACTGTAGTTAGAGATGTGTTATTATTCATACAACAGCCTATTATCTAGTGATTTAACTAGAGTTATATAAAGTTATATCCGCCAAGAAAGTTGAGAGGAAATGATCTACTTAGGAGCATCTTAAGAGTGTTTTAGGCTTATAGTAAAGAACGCATCTGTTTTAATGTAGTTTAAAGAGAAAATAAACACTTGTCACCATAGAGATGAATATCTTTAGAACAACTGTATTATGGACGCACCAAAGCAACAACAGTAGTTGTATCTCTATGTTGAACTTCTATATGTAGCTGTGACTTGCGGAGTGTGTTGGTTACCCCTTTATTAGGAGGCTACTGATAGGGGAATGGAGAGTGGGTGCGAAGCAAAGTCGGCTGTCATTTTGTGAAAAATTGCAAAACAGCTGTTCGAGAAGTATGTGGAGTTTCCATGGAAACCAGATAGGAACTGGTAGCAGAATGGAAAAGAGAGAGAGAGGGGGAGAGAGGTGGAGAGAGCAACCTAAATAATGTGATTGATCGACATGCATCAGGGACTACAGGCAAAGTGCAGCTAACACCAGGTACAGGGAGATATTACGACTCTGACTCCTGACCACTCACCTGCTCGTCATTCAGACTGACAGACGTTTTGTCCTTTAACCGTCTCTGTGATTGTATGATACCTGAATACATTATTTCTAGCTTATACTGAAAATTGCACACCTTTGACAGGTAACAAAATACATTATCTTTTCTCCTCTTCTAAAACATTTTTTTAGTTAAGAAATATTCTCATAAACCTGCACCGAAAGCCATGTAAGGGATAATAATAATATTATTTATTGCAGATCTTGAACTTGTTGAAGTAGATATATTGCACATTTATATTGATGTATGCTCTGTAGATACAGTACAATATTGAATGTACTTTTCTTCAGCCTCTCTTTTTATGATTTGGCTCCTCTAAATCCTACTGGGCCGTGACATTCCATGAATTTAATAAAGTCCCTGTAATGCATCCTCCATAATATGCTTACAGAAAAATTGCCAATGTTCTCATATAGCAACCAGACATATTCTCCCATCATTCCTCCTTGCAGCCATGTATGAGATTCTGTCCACATCCCTCAGTCTTATAAATGCTGCTGTCTCTCCGGTCCTTATCACAGTCATACTCACGAGTAGCTCTGTCTCACCTCACCGCCCCATGTTTCTAAAATGAGCTTCACATGTTGCCATTATCTCGATTATGATGAAAGAAAGGCACTTGTACAGTTTTCCAATAAAGCTTGACTCTGAATGCAGATTACCGTATGAGGAGTCATGCCCACTTGTTGAGATATGAAATGATTTTATGGATGACATTGATAAAACATTCACAGTAAACATTGAATTTATTTCAACCCCTAAATACTATGTGCTGACCATATTGGGGAAAGCACTGTAATTACACACTGTTCCCACTTGGTTTAATCCAAATACTCAAACATAGAAGGAAAACGTCTACATTTATTTTTGATGACCTTTGTGAGAAGATCATTTAATAAAGTACTTTTATGTTTCATGCTGGCTTCGATTCTTTGCAAACTGTTATATAAAAAGATTCAGTGATGAGTCATCAAGTGAACCAAAAATGTAATTTTAGAAGCTCAGAGAAACACTAGGCTAGTGCCGGTGTGAATGTTCAATATGCTGCAGGAGGCTGCAGTTGGCACTAAAAGGATCCCTGCTGTATCAGACTGAGAGTTTGAAGGTTTCAATTGGATTTCAGTTAAAGCTATCATTACTTATTTCTCCAACACCTCTGTGGGCCTAGACCCAGTTCTGTCAAAACCACAACACTGTTGACATGGCTTCAATCACTCAATTGTAGAAACATATCAACGTTGTCCTCTAACATCCATATTATAGGTCTCTCCACTTCCCTGTCTGTTTTTTTCTGAGATTATATACATATATTTTCATAATCTTACATTTCTGACATTAACAATTTGACATGTTTTCTCCGCGTGACACCTGAGTGTTTAATCTATTAATCTGACTAATAATAAAGTACAAGCTAAATATCTGGAGTTTCCTATCACAGTAGAAACATCCCGACCACTCCGAGTGGTACATTTTTAACTTCATCCGTGATACTGCCTAGCACAGTAAGCACACTTACAAGGTGTCTACCC